ATGTTAGCTGAACAGTTACCAAGGCAAGTATTGGGTAGCAAAACACTAAAACCAGAAGACATTAATGAGGAAGATGATGTTCCAGATCTTGTGAAAATTTTTAACGAAACATCAAACAATGACGCTAACTGAATTTTTTTTCTGGTTTTTGAAAGCATGGACTAGATTTAACAAGTCAGCTATGTGGTTATAAAGTTCTACAAACACAGAGAACATCACCTGTTACTAGCTCAGCAGTATAACTATCATGTATATGAATAAGGCTGTTTGTTTTTGGGCATTTGATTGTGCATTTTGTACTTCCTCAAGGGATCTAATCTTTTGGTCAAAATGTGAAAAAAGTAAAAAGGAAGGAAAGAAAGAAAAGACCAAAATGGATGTCAGATGAGACTCTAAAACCTGCTCTTAAGTGTCAAAAAGCTAAAGCAAATGGAAGAAATGAGAAGTAAAAAAGCTGACCAGAAAATTTCACAGGGCATTTAGAGAAGACAAAGTCAAGTGTTATAATGAATGTACAAAGACCTGTAGTTAGGAAACCAAAAGGAAAGAACAATTCAGCATTTCTCAAGCTTAAAGAACTAAAGAAAAATTCAATTGTTATGTTTGAGCCCATTGCTGCTGCCATTGTGTTAATCCATCTAGTTGGTGGTCTTCCTCTTTTTCACTAACCCTCCACTTTACCTAGCATAATGTACTTCTCTAGGGACTGGTCCCTCCTGATAGTACGTTTGAGATAGTACGTATGAGAGGTGATGTCTTGCCATCCTGGCTTCTAAGAAGCGGTCATGCTGTACTTCTTCCAACACAGATTTGTTTGTTCTTCTGGAAGGCCATAGTACTTTTAATTTCTTCTGCAACAACATAACTCAAATATATCAATTTTTATGGTTTTCTTAATCCGTTATCCATCTTTAACATACATATGAGGCCACTGAGAATACCATGGCATGGTCAGGTGCACCTTAGTCTTCTAGCTGACTTCTTTTCCCTTGAATACTTTAAGAGGTATTGTGCAGCAGATCTGTAATGACGTCTTTTGACTAGGATAAGACTATTTCTTATCTCACGCAACTGTTGTTGTTGTTGTTATATGCCGTGGAGTCGGTTACAACTCATAGCTGACCTTGTATAGGGTTTCCAAGGCTGTAAATCTTTACGTGAGCCAGAAAGCCTCATTTTTCTCCCACGGAACAGCTGGTAGTTTTAAACTGCTGACCATGATATTAACAGCCTGATTCGTAACCACTACGCTACCAGAGCTCCTTCATGCAACTATTGTGAGGATTAAATAAGAAAACTCATGTAAAGTTCTGAAAAAGGTTTTTGTCATATGACAAATACTCCATAACTCCTAAAAAGTACCATTAGAGCAACTTGATGAAAAAGGGTATCAATCACACCAATAGGAGTGGAAAGAAATATAAAAAAGAAAAACATAACAATGCATTCCCCACTAAGACTTGCTATTAATTGAGGACCTTACATCTAAGGACCTAAATTTCTTGAGTTAATATGAAATTTAAAAAAGTAGGAAATTCATATATATGTGTGTGTTTGAACATTCTAGAGTATTTTAAATGCTTAGTGGACTGATAGCTGAGGTTTTCTATGGTCACATGGTTATGCTTTAACACAAATGTAAGTATAATAACTATCTAGGCAAAGATTCCACTAGCTAGAGAGGGAAAACGTAAGTGGTCAAGGTTGAATGGATGTGATGTTCCAATGAGGTAGGAGCTATGGACAGTGTGCTTAAGAGGAATAAACCACAAGCCAGGAAAGAAGCAAGGGTGGCAGCAATCCAGGGGAAGTACCTCAGAGGGCACTTGCCTAGCAGGTGAGAGAGGTTTGATCAGAAGTCTAAAGGATAAGACCTCAAGTTCAAACAGTACACCAAACAGGAGGGAAATGGTGTGCCTTGGGTTGGGGGTTAGAACAAGAGGCCATGACTAGTGAGGTGGGTGTCAAAGAAGATAATAGAAGGTGTGGCTGCAAAAACTGGTCTCAGAATCTCAATCTGTGCCCAGGGGAGTAGCCAGAGGTTGCTGGCACCTCTCATTCTTACACTTTGTACTTCACTTCTGAGAGCTGCCTAATTAGCATCCAAGCTTCACTTGCCTTGCCCTGCCTCTGCCTGTCTTTTGAAGGTTCCTGCCCCACAGCGCTGCAGTGCTTCTGTCTGCTACCCTGTACTTCTCAGAGAAAAGAAAGCAGATGAACTTCACATTTCCCACATGCTAAGTCTTCTTCACACTAACAGTAGTGTAGATTTATCCACTTAGACTGAGAAGTGCTTCAGGTATCTACTACTATTTGCAGACACCTAATACAACCAATTTTGAGAACCAAATTCAAGGCTTTGATTTCACATCGACATTGGTTATTTCAGAGCCTGGATGGACACTGGAATCGGGAAGACATGGTGTGAATCTTGGCTTTGCACTTGTTATTCTTGTGACATGAGACCAACTACTTTACCTTGACCTCAGTTTTTTCTTCTGTTAAATTGGAATTATATTCATGGTGCTTGAGAAATAAAAATATACACAAGGAGATAATGATGGTAGCTAGGCAGTGGATATGAGCTAAGCACCAGTTAGGTGCTTGGTATACAGAAGTACTCAGTAATTCTAATGGTTAGGTACTACTATTGCTGCTTTACAGCATGATATTCTAGGGTTATAATGAGAGTGAATTCTTGTAAATTGGAACTGAGGCCTTCATGATTTAAACCCAGGAGACAAGACTTCAATGTATCATTTAAAAAGCTATGAAGCGGCAAGCTAAGCCTCACAATATTCAGAGGGCTTCTGTGGACCCAGTTGGGGACCTGGTTGGCAAGCAGTGTGAGGAGACCCGAGGACTCCTGGGCCCAGAGTCAGTGACATGGCCACAGAGGACTCAAGTGGAGAATGGAGCTGCTGGCTGATGGGAAGAGAGGGCATGTGCACAAGAACACCCACACATGCAGATGACACCCATGCGACCGGGACTGGATGACTGGATGATAAGAGCTCAACCAGGAGAAGAAAGAAGGTGGGGCGGGGGGAAAGAAGACTGAGCTGATCCAAACTGATGAACTTAACCTATGCATATGAATGCAGTGACACAAAAGAGGCAACAAATCCTTACAGCAAGAAACATTCCCAACCCCTCCACACACAGAGTAGACAGAGAGGGGCAACTTAGACAATGGATACCCAAATGGGGAGGGATGGACTACAAAGGCAAGAAGTAACTGGCTTACAAGCTTTCAAGAGGGAACCTAGAGATAGGGGGCATGGAGGAAGGCAGAATCATCAGTGAGTACTATCCAATTTGTCTAGGTGGAGCTGATGAAATGAAATACAGATGGGTTACATGCGATACTGTAGTGAATAATGGTTATCAAGAGGGATTGTGAGTTTTAGAAATGCAAGGGTAGATATTTTGTAGCAAGGAAGAGAGCGATTATTTCTCCAATCTAGGAGCGGAGGTCTCTGGGACCACCAACGGATAAGAGCAGAGAACGGGACCCCACCCAGAGAAGCGGGGATGCCTGAGATGGAGACAGAGATGATGACATGGAGGGATGAAGCGGCTGGGGACTTTGGATCCAGAGAGGGAGAGGAACTGTGGGCCGAAGACTGAGGGGGTAGTGGGTAGTGTAGAGCACGGGCTTCTAGGATATGCCCTTTGGTCGGAAGACGATGCATGGAGGGGATTGGAACCATGGTAATGTAATGATATACGATGGAATGAATATGGAACTGAGGTTCTCTCATGTAAACTATGATATAACTCACAATGAAACATAAAAAAAAACAAAAAAAACAATCTGTTCCTACATCTGCAATGGCCACCTGATAAAGCAAGTGAATCACTGTAACCCATTAATGAGGAGCAAGGAGGTGTTTGGGAGAAATGTAAAAGTCCTACCCCATCCCTGTGCAGTTTGTGACCCTTTCACCTGCCTGCCCACAAACTAAGAACTATGAACTCTCACTTCCTAATTGTCTAGAGACTTGGTTTTTCCAACTGAAAAAGGAGACATTGGAGATCTGGACAAGGTTCTGGGATGGAGGCTTTAGTAAATGTATGAAGTCCACAAGAGCGTCCCCTAGGACCAGCCATGCAGGGAAGTGTGACTGGCAGTATGGTTTCCCAGTTATAGCAATGTCTGCAGGTGACTATGGCAGGTCTTGCCCCTAAACTGGAGGACACATAGGTCCTGGACACTATACGGGTATGTGTGGAAGGCTTTTACCAGTGTTTAGAAAAGTAACAATGGGGTACCAAGAGGCAGGACCTGTTTCTCTATACTTGGTCATTCACTTATCTGCCTGTTCACGGTGGTCTAGTTGGCACCTATACTTCACCTCTCATTCACTGGCACACTCATTCATTCATTCAACTCCCAGAAGGTTTATTGGCTACTCACTAAAAGGGTGGCATTCTCCCACCTAAACGCTCTATGAGAGAACAACCTGGTGAACTGCTCTCACAGATTACAGCCTAGAAAATTCTGCAGGGTAGTTCTGCTCTGTCACATGGGATCAGTAAGAGTTGAAAATCGACTCCATGCACCTCACAACACCACCATGTGGAAACACAGCAGTGACTAAATGATGAACGCTCTGTCTTCATGTGGTTTACATTCTAGTGGGGAGAGGCAGACACACAAGAACACACAGAGGCTGTTGGAAGGTGATAAGAACCATGCAAATGTAGTAAGTCAGGGAAGGAGAACCAGGCATGCTAGAGTGTGGGGATGTGATTTTGAGGAAGGATCAAAGTGTAAGATGAAGGGGCCAAGGCCTTCACCACCATCTGTGTTGTGACCATGCCCCATAAAAGCCCTTGCCTTCTAAGAGCAGGCAGGCCTCATACTCCTTTGCAGTCATAGTGTGCATGCTCCAAGCAGACTATGACCCTTCCTGGGGTGGGATCTGGGCTTGAGACGATGCCTAGGTGAGCAAGCCAAGAGAACTGCAGGATGCAGAGGTGCTGGTGACCCTTACCTCCTCCAGCCGCCGCCGCTGCTCCTTCTGCTCCTCGATGCGCTTCTGACGCTCAGCCAGCAGCTGTCTCTTGTGCTCCTCGTTCTCCCGCTGTTGCTGCTCCAGCTGCTGCCTCCGCAGGGCCTCGGAGCGCTCCTTGTTGGCCAGCTGGAGCCTCAGAAAGTCCCGACGCAGCGTCGACTCCCCTGGCAAGTTCAGAATGGAGCTGTGGGCAGCAGAGAGAGATCAGGATCCATACGGGCCAATGGGCATCACTGCCAAGACTTAACAAGTCATTCAGTGCACATGGGGAAGAAGCCACATGCTCATGCACAGGCGCTAGATCCACTGGTCATGAAATCACTACCAAATCAAGGCACAGAGTCAAGGTAGGAGACTGGGTATGGCTATTTGAATACATACACATCACTGTCCCCTTCCCTAGAGAATGCCCCATTCCTGGGGTCATTGCCCCTCCCCAGGGCTGTCCACACCCTCAACCTTGTGACATAGCAAAGACATCTTTTCAAAAGCTCTAGTGAGTATATAAGCCCTGAGCTTCAGAGTGTCTCATTTTTCACAGGTACAAAAAGCAAAAAAAAAAAAAAAAAAAACCAAAACCACCAAGTAAAACTGAGCAATGGTAAGCAGAAAGGAAATCAGCTACACTTAGGTTCATACAGTTTTCTGGTTTAAAGACCACACTCATCCAGGATTCCTCACTCCAAACTCTATGAGGCAAAGATGCTGGTCATGTGAAGACACGACCAGCCAGAGAGGAAAAATGACCAAGCCCATGTTTGCTAAGCTGAGGAGTTCAGGGCTTGCTGCAGAGCACCACAGCCAAAGAGAAGTTCAGAGGTTTACTTTCAGCTAGAGAAGGTGTTCACTGATTCTTCAATAGCATGGTTTCCTCATCTACAATATGGTGGTTGTACATATGTGTATGAAACCGAGAGGACACGGGGACAGAAACTTTACAAACAAACTCCACCTACTGCACTGTTGTTGTTAAGTGCTGTTGAGTTGGTTCCAACCCATAGGGACCTTGTATAGGGTTTCTGAAGAACGGCTGGTGAGTTTCAACCACCGACCTTGTGGTTCAAACCGACTTTGTGGTCACGTTTTTATCCTGCAGTGACACACCAGGACTCCACCTTCTGCACTGTTATTGTTGTTGTTAAGGGCCTTCGAGTCAATTCTGACTCACAGCGACCCTGTATAGGATTTCTGAGGAGCAGCTGGTGAATTTGAACTACTGATCTTTCAGTTCTAATTGACCTTGTAGTCCAGTGCTTACCCAACAGCACCATGCCTGCTACTGCACTAGAGCTACTCTATTTGCAGCTAACAGCAAGTGAGCATCTCACAGTTACAAATTGCTTGGTTTTGCATAGCAGCTAAACAAGGAAATAACTTCATGGGATGTGGTTTGTATCTGTTGCTCTAACATAGATAGGCCTTTTCAACTTTCTAGTAGCATCCATTTGAAATAAATCCATTAAACAAATAACTACTGAGCACCTACTATGTGGCAGACACTGTAATAGATCCTAAGGTTATAATAGTGACCAGATATAAATTCTCTCCCTAGAATGTCTCTTCTTGTGGGGAAGGGCGAAAGACAAAACATTTAAAATTGACCTAATTTCAGATATTAAGGAGCTCTGGTAGCATAGTGGTTATGAATCGGGCTGCTGACCTCAGGGTCAGGAGTTTGAAACTACCAGCTGTTCTGTGGGAGAAAGATGAGGCTTTCTGCTCCTGTAAAGATTTACAGCTTCGGAAACCCTGTACAGTGTCGCTATGAGTCGGAACTGACTCCATGACACATAACAACAACAACAATTTCAGATGTTAGAAAGCTCTACAGGAAACAAAAGAAAGTGACAGTTTAAGAGTGACGTAGTGGCAGGGACCAGGGGAGAGGATTAAGGTATCTACTTTAAACTGGGTCAGGGAAGACCACTTTGAGAAGAGGACAAGAAAAATGAGACTCAAATGAGGAAGAATCAGTAGTAGGAAGCATGTTCCAAGCAGAAGGGAAAGCAAGTGGGAACAGGTGTGGCTTCTTCAAGGCCTTGAACACCAGCTCATCTTGCTGGAGTACAGTGAACATGAGAATGGTAAAAGATATCAGAAAGACAGGGCAGACTGTGTGAGGTCACAGGTCGTGCAAGACATGTAAAGGATTTAAGCAGAAGAGTAACGTGGGACTTGGTTGTATGTTGAATGGACAATAGACTGTTGGGGGTCTAAGGGCCAGTAGGACAGCTAGTTGGGGTGGATGGGAGTGGTGGGTGTGGAGGCTGGGAGAAGGCCTTGGAGGTGGAGTTGATGGGATATGTTAAGGGATCTGTTTGGTGGAATGAGGGATGCCTTCCAGGGTTCCTCTTGAGCAGCTAGATGATGGTGGTAGTGAGAATAGGAGTGGGAATGATAGTGGAAGAGCAGACTTGGTGGAAGTTAGTGAAGGGTCAAGGTTCTGCTCTGGTAAGTGGTTAGGGTGTTCTGTGAGATGCTACCAAAAAATAAAGATTTTAAAGCCTTGTTCACGTCATTCCAAAGGCAAAGCTTGGGTTCTATTAACAAAACCAGTTGCCAGTGAGTTGATGACAATTCATGGTGACCCCATGTATGTCAGAATAGAATTGTACTGTGTAGGGCTTTCACAGGCTCACATTCTTGAAGTAGGCCATGTGGTATTTCTTCTGAGGAACCTGTCTGTAAACTAGAACCTCTAGCTATCTGGTTAGCAGCCAAATATTACATGTTAACAGTTTGCACCATTCAGGGACTCCTACTTGTACTACTTGTAAGCCTCCTCTAATGGCCTTTGTGTAAAAATCAAAAAACAAATCGTGCCTATCTATTTCAGAGGCTACATTCCCTGTGCAAAGGTGATGGGTTTGGTGATTCCAGTCTCACATACACAGGAGGACATGCCAATAAGATTAATTGTTCTGAATCAATGTCAGGAGCTCTGAACTGCATTTTCTACTCAATTATTAGCTCAGTGTGTGACTGGCATGCCAATTTCAGGCTGTTACCTCATTTCTAAAATGAGATCATCACTGTCCTTTTCTACTTTTCTGGAACTTATGAAGATTAATTAGATGCATCTATAAAAACAAGACTAGGAGCACAATCTTCCATGTGCGATAATGACATGTTACATTATAAAAGTGTTCAGGCATGACTAGGTCGGCCTAGAGGTGGCTCTGAACATGCAGTTCAGCGAGTGTTACAAAAGACATGGTTCGTGGTTCTACAGAGAGAAACCTGGAGGGCTGACCCGACCGTCTGGAAAACAATGCACACACCACACAGTGCAATGATTTTTTTGAAAACAGGACATGTGGTCCCTGACCTTAAGGATGTTCACCTTCCATGTCATTACTTGACAGTATCATATTTCTAAAGGTTAAGTGTGGGATACCCAATATATGTATCAGATGGAAGGAAAGAACTGTCTTTTGGTCTGTGCCCTTGGGAAATCTGATGGTAGGTGAACAGAAGAAAACCGTATGGCCGCTTAGCAAGAATCCAGTGCAGTGGGTCTGAGTTAGCAATATGAAGGCCTTTAATTCATTCCAGCAACAACATCATTTAACTCATGTAGTTAAGTTGGCCCCTTCTCTTGTTTAGAAAGTTCAGTGATATGGGAACTGGATCCTTCCCCCGGACCCAGTTAGAGTACCATGCTGCTGCTTAGATATCTGGAAGGTAGGGACCCCTGTACCCTGGTGACTCTTCTGCTTCTGAGTAGTCTCCAATGAGTCTCACTTCCCATTTACAGTGCAGGGTGCTATGGTGTGGGCTGCACTCTTGGACTCGCTGAGTCCAGACCACTGCTGCTGCCAGCTGAATTCTCACAAAAGAGAAATCCCAGCAGGATAGGCACACCAGAATTAATTATTTATAAATATGTTGTTGTTGTTGTGTGCCGTGGAGTCGGTTCAGACTCATAGTGACTCTGTACAGGGTTTCCGAGGCTGTAAATCTTTACGGGAGCAGAAAGCCTCATCTTTCTCCCGCAGAAGAGCTGGTAGTTTCAAACTGCTGACCTTGCGGCTCGCAGCCCAATTCGTAACCACTACGCTACCAGAGCTCCTTATTTATAAATATAGACCAGAAGAAAGTCAAAATCAGAGTCAAGTGAAATGGACAACATAGGGATGGTAACAATGAAGTGGCATGTGATTCTGGGGCCCAACACATGATAACAGGAATGGAGGGAATGCTTCTATTTAGAGTTCACTTCTACAGTGTAATTTGATTTCCTGAACATCATTTCCTCTGATATTAGACTGTGGGGAAAATAGCAAGACAGGTGACAGGGACAGTGGCTGTCTGAACAGACTTCTCAAAGGTATGAAGCAATGAATGGAATAACCCAAATCCTAAAGCACCACCTGGATCTCCGTAACTTGCAATTTGAAGTAGTTTCTGTCCTGCTTTGCCCAGATAATTGCCTCATATCCATTCTATATGTTACACCTGTGAGGAAATAAGGCCAAAGACTACCAACCATAAATCTTGGGGGACAAGACAAAGAATATGCTGATTTTCACATTTTCCTAAGAGTCTACCCAGGGAAATTTCCCTAAATTAATGAGTATGTTCACGGGTAATAAATAAGACTGCCCTGGTGGATTGTTAAAGGTGAAACTATAAATCAAAAGACAGGTAGCAGTGAATTTCACACAAACATCAATTCAAAATGTGAAACTTAGAAGGCATGGTTCTCGTTCTCCTACCTAGGCTCTCCAGAGTCATTCTCCTCCTCCTCTTCCTCACTTCCGCTGTACTCGTACTCTGTCTCATCTAAAGAGAGAGATTCACAGAATGTTAGTATACAAAATGAGGCCATAGATCAGTCAGGAGCAGTCCTTCATTTTATATATAAGTGAGGCCCAAAGAGTTGTTAAACGCTGAGGCGAGGCTCCAGGCTTCCTGACCTGTGGTCCAACTGCAGAGAAAGATGTCATTTCTGCCAGCTGGACTCAAGTCCATGGAATTAACCATATGTAAGACTGTCCAACTTAAGTCTATATATCTGCTCCTAATACCTCACTCTCACATGAAAGAGAAGACAAGGAATTGAAAAATCACCTTTCAATTTGTGCTAACTTCCATTACAGGGCCATCCAAATCAATTTTTTATTGACTCACTTCACTGTTAACTTATTGATCACATTAATCACTTTTTAAGTAGAAGTTTCATTACAACTTATATGGATTTACACATTGCCTCCGGCATAACATATTGTGCTAAATATGGTTCTGTAATATGTGCTATGAAAATATAGATAGTTAAAAAATGTTTTGCTTGACCCACTGGGGACATTCATTCAATTCAGTGAAACCTTCAGTGAATTCAGATGCAAGGGTGAATGAGATGTGAGTCTCTGCTCTAGAGAAGATCAGAACCTAATCAATACTGGGTGTCTCCCAAGTCTGTCGCCACACTAGATACTTTACCTGGGATCTCTCATTTTTTCTTATAAGACAATGCATATTTTTAAAGTGAGACTACTGATATTACAAGAGGTGACGTGATAGGACTGATGCCATTTCATTAATTAAAGATCAAACTGGGATAGGATTTAGAATTTAATCCAGAACGTTCAGGTTTTAAAACCAGTGTTCTTACATGTTATATGCTAAATAGTGATGCTAGTTGTGTGTGTGATGTTGACCTGGTGCTGACTCAGACTCACAGTGACCCTGTATAGGATTTCTGAGGATGCAAATCTTTACAGAAGCAGAAAGCCTCACAGCTAGTGGATTCACTGTTGACCTTGTGGTTAGCAGCCTAACTTGTAACCTGCTATGCCACCGGGGCTCCTTTATATGCTAAATGAATAAGCAAATATTAGAGACACTCGCAGCTAATTTCACATGTCATACTGGGGAAGGAGGACAGTGAGGACTTTGGAGAGGAAATAACTAGGCCTGGGAGGGTCAGTAGCCTTTCTCCAGATAGGAGAAGAGCATCCTAAGCCATGTACTCACATGGGTAAAGCTGGTAGTATGACTGTGTATATACAGGAAACATATTCAGGAAACAATGAGTCACAAGGGGCTAGGAGTCTGGGTGTGGGAACGGTGGAAACATGGAAGTAGAAGGAAAAACCAGCAGGTATAATAGAGCTATGCATGCAGAGAATTCTGCAGGCAATGAGGAGTCCCTGAAGGAACCTTTAAACTGCATTACAGTTACTCCGCCATAGCTGTGGCTTAGAGATTACAACTTTGAAGGCATTTGAGTATCCCTAAAAAGGAACTGAAACTACAATTTGGGTGTTATCATCCGGAGACCAATGTCACATATTCGGAATGACCCAATCTGACCATGAAACTTCAATAAACACATTTTGCCTTTCATATTATTTAGCCACTAAAGGGATAATAAAATCGAATAAGATTTTGATGAGTTCAAAGGTATTTAAAAAAAAAAATCAAAATCTGCTTTGGATATTTTAATCTGTCTGAAACTTTCGTGCTACTTATTTTTAAAGTATTATTTCATCAAAATGTAAGGAACATGAACAAAGAGCTTTAATATTCCATACTGAAAAGCCTAATATCCTAAACTTTCCTGAAATAAACAGGGAGTTAAAAGGAAAACAGAAATTTTATGTGATAAAGGAAATTATATCAAGGAAATAAGCATACAATTAATCCAATTATTTATAGTATCTAGGGTAAAAGCTTCATTTGTTAGGTTTCTCAATTTTAATACCTCACCAGAACCTGGTTTTATTGCTCTTATATTACTGGGTTAAATTAGCATGCGCCTAAGTAAAAGGTACTATCATGTTAAAACCCAAAAAAGCAAAAATTAAATATAAAAGCAATGCAAAATAAAATTGATTTTGCCAAAAGTTGGTCATTGAGAGAACTAGTAGGAGAGTGAAAAAGTAGTAAAGGGAGCACGCTAAACCATTGGACCAAACTTAGCAAACAGAATGAGACCTTGTTTGATCAAATACCCTTCCTTGGAGAGCAGACAAAAATGTAACTAGAACTGTTGCTCGCGGTGGTAAAGGCCGGTGGGGGGAATAAGAACCCCAACAAACCCGGGGAAGGGTTCAAAAGAAGGGCCGGGGGGGTTGAAACGGCAAAAATTCCGGTAACAAGCCCGGGCCTAACCCAAAACCCCTTTTAAAGTATCATGTAACTCTTTAATATGTCCTGGTGCCACAATGGTTAAGCATAAGGCTGCTAACTCAAAGGTCAGGAGTTCAAAAACACCCAGTGGTTCTGCAGGAGAAAAAACCTAGCAATCTTCCAAAAAGATTTTACTGTATTAAACTCTCTAAGGAAATTCAACTCTGTCTTATAGGGTTGCTGTGAGTTGGAATCAATTTGATGGCACATAGGAATAGCAACCAGGAATCTTACCTTTTTTCTCTGCAGAGCATGAACACATTACCTCTTTTCATAGCATGGTGATACCTGAATCACATTTCAGAGTTTGTGCCCAAAGTATGAAAACCACCCAAGGCATAAGTTTGACCTCATTTTTATGGGTTGGGGAGAGATGATTGCATGAGTTCTTGCTACTCAAGTATTACTTATTCCTGAGCAGTATTGAAAATTACATCTCAATAAAGAATTACTGAACTAATTGTTAACTACTACCAAGTTGATTCCAACTCATGGAAACTGTGTATAACAGAACAAAACACTGCCCAGTCCTGCGCCATCTTCATGATGTATTGACATGGTTACTTCCTTGCTACTATTATTGTATCAATCCATGCCATCGGGAGCTTCCTTATTTTATTGGTCATCACTTGATCAAATACAATTAACAACTACAATTTATCAAGTGCTTCTTTGGGCCAGACATTTATATATTTTACATGCATCATCTCTTTTCATCTTTGTAACAATTTCAGGAAATAGATAACATTATTACACCCCACCCTTATTTTAAACATGAGAAATTGTAGTGAAGTTCATGTAACTGACAAGTGGAAGAGCTAGAATTTGGAACCAAGTGGTCTGAAAACAAGATCGGAACACTTAAATCCCTACCATAAACACACATTGTTGTTGTTGTCAAGTCAGCTCTGACTCACAGCAACTCTGTATAGGATTTCCGAAGAGCAGCTGGGGGGTTTGAACTGCTGACTTTTCAGTAAGCAGTCCAGTGCTTATCCTACAGTGCCACACCACACATAATACAATCCATTTCTTTTTAAGAGACATATGTACCTAAGAGACATAATAGTTGTATGTCTGATAAACTGTTCTAAAATATTCCCTTTAAATTGTTTTTTCATTGTTGTTGTTGTTGTTAAGTGCCGTCGAATCGATTCCGACCCATAGTGACCCTGTATAGGGTTTCCAAGGAGCAGGTGGTGAGTTTAAACCACTGACCTTGCAGTTCAAATGACTTTGCAGTCTGACGCATTAGCCAACAGCGCCACACCAGGACACAAAACCACCATTAGTAAATGGCATAACACACAAAAAATAGTCTGGAATTTTTTTTTTTTCTTTTTTACCTTGATTTACCTATTTCTCCTCAATCCTAGTTCTTCCAACTATCATAGGCTTCCTAGCACCGTGGGTTCTGAATCACACCTTATCCCTCTCCACAGACTTGGGAGATGGGCCTCTGTTTGGCTAGGTGTCACAGATTCCCTTCTATCTTCACTGATGATTTCTCCTCCGACCTATCCCTCTGCCTTTCCCACCTTGACTTCTACACTGCTCACCAGTCCTCCCTTAACCCCCAGCTCACACCTTGTCATGTTCTGGATACTAACTACAGAGGCGAAGATGAAGGGAAAGACAAATCAAAGGAGAGCAAAAAAGCCCTGTTGCTGCTACCCACTAGCCTCCTCTGCTCCCTTTGGATTGTGAAGAACAGGGGAAGAAGTGGGGAGGATTCTAGAAGTGAGCAATCGCACATCACCATCCAATCATTCCCTCTCCTCCCCACTCACCACATTCTCATGCACACCTTCCAGTCTCATTCTCCTCCCTCACTGCCAACCTCCATCGGTTGTCTCTGTGAGAGTCCTCACCTTGTTTGAGCTCCCCAATTCTCCCTTCCAGTACACCTCCACCTTCCCTAGTCCTCAGCTTGCCACAAAACCTGCTGCAGACCATGGGAGTTATACCTTAGCCAGGACATCATCAGGATGTTAGTTAAAGAATTGTAAACCTCCAACCAAACAACCAGGGTACAATTCCAGGACTCCAAGTTCAGACTCACGTTTTTCTCAACAATGTAGTTTAAAAAAAAAAAAAAGATATGTTAGAGCCATAGAGAAAAGAATTTCGGTCGCTATAAAATAAAGATGATCTTTGAATGACCTTCTAGCTCAACATTCAATGCTCTATACAGCAAGCCTGGCAACCTAATGACCTTTTATAATACTGCAACTATAAGAAAATCCATTTGTTCCCTAAATAATTGAATTACAATTAGCTTCAGGATGCAAAAACTTATATGTTGTTGTCTGACAGCACAGGAAAATGTCAACTAGATGACTTTTTTTGTTGTTGTCTGTCTTCTATAAGTGTCTAGTCTTCTAAACATGAATAGTCATTTCAATTAAGAGAGACACTTGTCACCTGAAAGCACTTCACAGTTTCACTCAACAGGACTCTGCTCAGTGGCTGGAAGAGGTAATGTTTTGCACAGTTCTATTTCATGAAAGGTTCCTTTTCAACAGTCTCACTCCATTAATGCCCACAGGCTGTGATCTTAGAGGCAGCACCTCATACTAAAGAATAATGCAAACCCATTTGAAATCCCCACCGTCACCTTCAAATACATCAAGGGTCCATGATTTACTTTGTTTCTTTTTTCCCTTGCTGAAATACAAATGTGCTTCTAACCTTTCTCTCCTCGCTTCTTCTTTGTTCTATCAATATGGTCCTTGAGTTGAATGCGGACCTGTCGCTCATTAGGTTGATCTCGTATAAATGGGTGCTTCATCAGCTGTTCTGTTGCTGGTCTCTGGCTGTGATTCTTTACCAAGCAGCTCTCAATAAAAGACTGAAATTTTTTTGACCTGCCAAATGAAAGAGATGAATCCACAGATAAAATGACAATCTAAGGAAAGACATGTTTACATTTTTTTTCTTTTGTATATGCTGGAATTAAAAAACATACACACACAAAAATGTCCAATAAGCCAGTATGAGTCCCTGAATGGCACAGACGGTAAGCACTGTGTTGGCTACTAATGAAATTGGGGGTTTGAACCTACCTAAAGGTACCTCAGAAAATAGGATTGGTGATTTATTTATGAATTGTCACAACCTTGAAAACCCTGTGGAGTGCAGCTCTACTCTACACACATGGAGTTTCCATGAGTGGGAGACAACTTGGCTGCAACTCAACAACAGTATCAAGCCAATATAAGACTCTACCATACCCAAAGTAGGTCTAGTACTATTGTAGGCACAATGTAGTCCAAAGGCTTCGTCACCATACATACTCAATTCAGGAAGGCATGTGGGACTTAAACAAATGAAAGCATCTTTTCATAGTTTATACTCAGCATCATATTTGTAAGATTGATAGAAATGAGGAAATATAACTGGGCCTTAAAGAAACAGGAGAAAATTACTTCGGGGATAGAACAATTCAGCAAGGGAGTCAGTGAAAAACTAAAGCTTGGAATGAACCTTCCATATATCACGGTGAATTGCCTAAATAGGGAAGAAAATGCAAGCTATGTTATATAAAACTAAAGTAGATAGGGAAGAAGAAGGTGCAATCGGTAGAAATTAATAAAATTTGTATACAGCAAAATGAGCTTTACTTAGGCCAATTTTTTATCAGTAACTTCAGAATCACTTTTGAACTTTGTTTACCAATTAATATGAACAGGTGGTATGTGTATGCCTGTCACCACCTAAGGACTTGGAAACTTAATTTTCAAGGACCAAGCTCATGCCCAGAAGGAAATTTATCTCCCTCTAGAAAGGTATTTATTTCCTCAAAGATAAACTCTGTGTCAGAACTGCACAGGTAATGGGGCAGTGGTGAGATATCACACCAGTGATTATAACAGTGTGTCAACAACGTGATAGAAATTAATGTAGTGGACTTTAGCTATGATTCATGAGCTGGGCATACGTGTTCTTATTGAATGCTCTAATAAATTGTGCAGCAATATAAATAATTAAGCTCCTGACTCTATAGCAAGATGTTCCAAGCTATTTCATTGGTTGTATTATAACACACCACATCTAGTGGCCTTTGCAAAATCCAGGTCAAGCTCTCTGCTCAGCCACAGGGGTCAACCCTGCCACCCTCCTGCAGAGCACTGGTATTACAGGATTGCTTTATAGACACTACAAGCCTATCTGATGTCCTCACCACAAAGAACACAATGGCGAGCATCTTCTTCAAGGTTTAAGTGCTAGGTTGTTGTTGTTTAAGTGTCGTGGAGTCGGTTCCAACTCATAGTGACCCCTGTACAGGGTTTCCGAGGCTGTAAATCTTTATGGGAGCAGAGAGCCTTATCTTTCTCCTGTGGAGCAGCTGGTAGTTTCGAACTGCTGACCTTAATGTTTGCAGCCCAATTCGTAACCACTGAGGACGCTCTAATATACACCATTCTCCATTTCTGTCCTGATCAATGCGTAGTCTAACCTCATTCCCTGTTTGTTTTTGTAAGTATTGGATTATTGGTATTTCCCTCCCTAAATTTTGAAACTATTTTCATGCTTCTAAAAATATTTAACATAGAAGTAAGATTTTACATAGTAAGCTTCACAGAAGAAAATTAAGGTTTTTTTTTTTTTAATTTAAAGTAAAGCTAAAATTTATAAAAGTAAACAACAACAATAACAAACAAATAAAAGCACATGCAGAGTTTGGGGTTAACTCAGAAAGAATTTGGGAGTGGTGATATTGTTGAGTAGGAATAATCACAACAGGAGGCACCTGCCTACTAAGCTCTTTAGCCCATTTTCCAGTTTCTTGCACAATGGAAATTCATAGACCTATCTGGATGTGCTATAGTCACCTTTGTATTGCAAGTACACCACCTGCCTGTAACTATTTGGTGAATGAACAAGTGATTACTGGATGAAAGTCCTCAGCTAGAACTCTAGTACAGCTATCTTCATATCTGTGCTTGCTAGGGATAAAGGAGGAGGGTTGAGAGTAAATATTTTTTTCAATAAGTCTTCTTTCTCAAATAAATTGAATAAACCTGTGGTGGCTCAAATATGGTATTAGCTAAGCCAAGATCTTACAAGATAAATGTAATGAAGTAATGGACTCTCCTAAAGCATGAGCTGGAAAGAATGAGGCCAGTATATAGGAACTGGCAAACTCCGCACACTCTGTTTCTAGATACGAACAACAGCAGTAAAAGACAAAACCAAAAGCAAATTTAACACCAGAAAGCATGCAAATAGGAATTCGCTTTTTCTTACTTGCAACTAGAAGTACTTGTGTAGTGTATTTTCTTAAATGAAGTGTTTAGTTATTAATTAGAAGATGACAAATAAAGACACAGAATCTGGCTTAAAAATGAGATCCAGCCTTTTTGTTGTTGTTACTAACTGCCGTCGAGTCAGTTCCGATTCATAGAGACCCTGTATAAGGTTTCTGAGGAGCGACTGGTGAGCTTCAACTGCCAATCTTGCAGTTCAAACTGACTTTTGTAGTCCAGCACACTAACTCACAGTGCTACACCAGGACTCCCAAACCACTTTACTAGATTTCAAATTCCATTTCTTGACAATAACACAACAGTTAGAGAAACCTGAATGAGTTAGCATCTTTTTTCAATATCCCTCTTGTGGGAGGGGACCTCAAGAGATATACAAGAAAATAACTTTGACCCAAAGCATGGGCTGAGCTATTCAGAACTACAAAGCTAATAATGTAATTCATGTCTTCTTCAAAGGGTACAGTTTGAAGAGAAGAGAAAATAATGTTTAATTAAAACAAGTCCTTGAAGAAGGATTCCTATCTTTTATTTCAGTTAGAATGACCAGAGCGCCGATATACTTAAATACACATTTATTTAAAAGCAAAAATGTTTCATACATGTTAATGCCACCTGATTGCTTGCTGAACAGTCTAATGGGATTAAAGGACATTTGTATAATTTTATTGCTTGACTCTGCTGCTGGTAATTTAGTTCTGTCTCTTTTTTTTTTTTTTTTTTAAAGAGGAAGACTAAGATTAGTAATACTAATTTCCCAAGGGATGGCATGAAGAAATAAATGGTAATAATTGGTGCTTATAGTCTGAGATACTAGTTCTTTTACTTCCAGCATTACTAACACACTTTACCTTCACAGATTTATCTTGTTTACATATTAAATTGTTTTAAATAAATTAAAAATGCTCATAAGATTATTATATTAATCATAAGCAGCTAGGCTAAAAATGTTTGGTAATGATGTTATTCTTGTGGGCAGTTGAGTAGATTCAAACTCATAGAGACCCTATCTGACAGAGTAGAATTATCCTTATAGGGTTTCCTTGGTTGTAATCTTTATGGATTACATAAATGGAGAGTCAGAGAAAAAGAGGAAGACCGCCAAAAAAATCAAATGGCACAGTGGCAGCAGTGATGGGCACAAATGCAGCAACGATTGTGAGGTTGCCTCAGGACCAGGCAGTGTTTTGTTTTGTTGTGCACAGGGCCTCTATGAGTTGGTACTGACCCAATGGTACCTAATAGCAACAACAACAAACTTTATAGAAGATTCCTGGTATGGTGCTATAGGGTCAGCACTGGACTTTAAACCACAAGGTTGACAGTCCAAACCCACCAGTTGCTCCTCAGAAACCTATGCAGGGTCACTATGAGTTGAAACTGACTAAACAACACTTAACAAACACCAGCAATCTTTACGGAAGAAGCCACAGTGGTGTAGTGGTTAAAACACTAGGCTGCAAATGGAAAGCTCTGTGGTTTAAATTCACTATTCGCTCCATGGGAGAAAGATGTGGCAGTCAGCGTTCATAGAATTACAGGCTTGAAAACCCTATGGGGCAGTTTTACTCTGTCCTATTGAGTTGGAACTACCTCCACAGCACATCACCACCACCATCACCACCAGTGAGTCACTATACTGAGCTCTGGTAGCGTAGTGGTTACCCATCGGGCTGCTAACCTCAAGGTCGGCAGTTCGAAACTACCAGCCGTTCCATGGGAGAAAGATGAGGTTTTCTGCTCTAGTAAAGATTTGTAGCCTCAGAAACCCTGTACAGGGTCACTATGGGTCGGAACTGACTCCACGGTACTTAACAACAATTGAGTCACTATGAGTCAGACAACTTCATGGTTGTTGTTTTTAAGTGCCTGTGAGTCAGTTCTAACTCATAGTGACCCAGTAGAGGATTTCCAAGGAGCAGCTGGTGGGTTTGAACTGCTGACCTTATGGTGTACAATCTAGTGCTTACCCTATAGCACTACACCAGGAGTCCAACTTAGTGGTAGTGGGTCTAATCTTTATGGAAACATAAAACATGTGACTTTAGGGCTGGAGAGCAGAACCTTCAAGTTGTTTTTCCCACTCTTGCTTAGCTCAGTATAGCATTCTCTAAGAATGATCTCAAGTGTATTGGGGTTATGAAGAATAGTAGGAAGAATTAGCATGGCTGTTTGTCTCTCAGGAGATTGCTAAAATGGCTCATTAAAAAAAGAAAGAAAGAAAATGTTGTGGAGCAGTTATTATTTTGAGTTCAATAAGGATCAAAGTTGGATAACAAATCCAATCTAGCTTAAGTACTTTCTGATATTTGCATTATATTATTATTTTATTAAGAATTCAAAAAAGAGCTTTGTTATTTCTTAAAACAAAAGTGCCTCAGACATAAAGTAAAATGAAGCTCTGAAGCACGCTACAATACAGACGAACCTTGAAACATTATTTGAGTGAAACACATTAGTCACAGAGTAATACTGTACATGACCACACTTACATGAAATAAACAAATACATAGAAATCAAAGATTACTAATTACCAGGGGGTGAAGGAGGAGAGAATGGGGAGGTTTTGCTTATAGGTCACTGAGTTTAAGTGGATGGTG